TTTTTAAGCAAGTTAAATATTTTTTATAACTGGATTGTTTTACATCGTATTATAATCTAATAAAATTGGAAATTTCGGGTATTCATGAATCGTTCTTTTTCGACAAAATGTTAAACGGTTTTACAATGGATGAGTATTACATTCCAAATTTTGACTTAAACTTATAACTCTAATATTATTGTATAACGATTGACGATAATTTCGATGGTGACGAAATAAGCAATTCCAACAAATTTACCCAAACTAATCTAATTTTTATTCGATCGTTGGTATAATCGTATATTATAGATATAAAATAGGTAAAAGTCTCTGGAATACAATAGTTGTATGGAGCACGAACCCTTGAGGAAAAATAGTATGATAAGCCACTGACGTGTCAGTTCCCATGTTATTCTTGGAAAATTGTTATCACCACAGAATAATAATAAGTGTTAATTTGAAACTTAAGGTGCACCGTATAGACAATAGGCGGTCAGGACAACATAATGTCAAAATAGAAAACGATCAAGATTTGCACATTTTTTAATTCGTCGAACGCAAAAGTGCCGAAAGCAGGCACTAAATAAGTGTACATTTCAAGGGCGTTGATAACTATATTTTAATATTTTAGTAGATAATAATAATATGTAATATATACAATATACATATTATAATGATATCTCATAAAATTATGTCTACCTTTTCCCATATCCACTTGTTCGACCTAATAATATTAACATAATATTATACAGCAGTATATTATAATACAATATTGTCAATTCAATCTTATAAACGCTGATATGGGTACAATTTATATTAGTATTGAAGTAGCTACTGATGTGAACAGAGGTCCTTGATTTAAAAATTATATTAATTTATCATTTTTTGAGATCATAATATTATATTGTTATTAAATATTATTCAAAGTAGAGACCCAAAGTGCTAAAAACTAATAAAAAATGTCGACTTTCGCCTTTATTATTTTTTTTTTTTACCCTTTTGAGCGTGGTTTCATTATTCAAGTATTCACAACTTCTGCGTTCGCTGTTAACAAACAAACCGAAACGGTCACTTTTGTCTCTTAAGAAACCTTTTAAGTGTGGTTAGTTTAAATGTGTATTATATTTCAATATTGTATTTTAATATTAACGTATATTTGTTTGTGTTTGGTTAAAACCTTGGTGAGTATGAAACACGAAGAACTACCCATCATGATTATCAAATATGTGTAATATCACTTTTGGTGTTGTCGGAGACGTTATTAATAAGCTCGGCGAGATCTATCGTTTAAGGTTTGATTAGGTACTTGTAGTTAAATTTGATTAAAAAAAAAAACTATTATACCTACGTTTCATACTTAGTCTCAAAAATATTGTCAGAAGGCAATATTCTGGTATTCTACCGGAAATTCATATTCTAAACAAATATTATACAGACTAGATAGATTAAAAATTCAAACGATAAAAACTAACAATAATAATTTAGTTTGATTTTTTTAAATTTTTTTTGTACCTATTTGGTCCTTGAGTATCATACTAAACGTTTACCTACCTATCGACGGAACTCGAATGCAAGACTTGATTAAGGTTCATATAGCTTTATATTTTCAACCGAATATTATATCGTAAGCACTTGTGCGTTAAACTCGTGAAAGTATAATACTTATTGCATGTGTTTTTCAAAGAGTAAATTGCACATAAACTATCAGATTATTACGAGTGTGGCTAATATTATTTTTATTTAAAATACTTATAATCAATTAATATATTATTCACAGTGATTATACCTCGTAAATCGTATAGAGTTATTATTATTTTCGAAAATGTGTACCGTTTACATTGTTAATATAATGCATTGTATATAGGTACCTGGCATGTTTAATTAATAATTTATGTTATTATAATACAGTGATCGACACACGTGTTCGTGACATGTGAACACTTGTCGATGTGCATATGTATCATATTCGATAGTAGGTAGGTACATAATATTAAGTAGAACATTATAAAACTATGACTGCAAATCGTTAGACAATATGAATTACTGCATTTATTATATTATATAGATATTATTGGTAGAAACGTGAAGAACCTAAGTATTAATTTCTTAATTATAGATATGAGAGTCAATATTATAATATTATAATTACTATAGAGATATGAATTTCCAAAACTTCCTACACACATTAAGTTTATTTTAGTACATGTATATCAATAATAATTATTCTAAATGTTTACTTATATTTAACATTCTCTTGACTCTTTGATTCCCTTCTATAGTTGTTTTATAAATCGATAGGTATTAAGTTTATATACATATCCATATATATAAATAATACATTTAATGTTTACTTAAATGTAACATTATCTTGACTCTTTCATTCCTTCCTAGTTGTCTTATAAATCTTTTTTCTTAATGTTTATAATATTATTGATATATTTGTTAAACGACTTCGGTCACAGTTAGGAAAGAAAATCAATGAGCAAAAAATCTGTAAGCCACATTCAAATCAAACCGGAACCATCAGCTGTTCGATGTCTGGATATTTGTAAAATTGCACATGAGTTGGATTCATATCGAATCATATCATTGGCTTACTCGTATATTTCGAAAAAGATTTATCCTTTTATTAGTAAATATAATGGATATATTGTAAAAATATAATGTGAAAAAAGGAGGCAAGTGGGTAACTCTCTGCTGAACAGTAGGTGTCTAGATAAGTCATTGTAATTTATGTGTTAAATTTGAATTCAATGATATAAAATCATTTTAAGGGAGAAACGTTTCTAAGCGAAGACCTATAATATTACTAAGTTTAATATATTTTCTGATACAATAGTGATTAAAGTATTTGTCTTAGGTACTATTAGGCATTAGTACTATACTGCAGTAGGTTAAATGAATGTTTGAAAAAAATTGCATTTGAAAATGTCATGGTGTGTATAAAATATAATAATATAATATTATATATTACGTGGAACCTTGTTTTAATTTTTCGATTCTTCGCTATAAAAATTTAACATGTTATAAATTCTTAACTAAAAAATAATTTTCAAATTTTCAATTTCATAAACGTTGTCAACATTTGAATTTTAAATAATTATAATAAAATCTTGATTATAATATATTCATGATATTTTTGAACTGCTATCCGACTATTATAACAATGTGGGAGGAACCTTGAATTAAATTGTAAGCTTTTTAACCCAAAAAATTAAATTGTATCACTATTTATAGAAAAAAACTAACAAAAATGAATATTTTAATTAATGTTAACCGCTCAAAACTAGTAAAAATAATATTTCTTAAATTTTATCAAGTATAGAAAATGCTATAATAAACATTTGGTCAAAATGTAAAGTATCTACTGTTATTCATTTTTGAATTATAACAAAATATGAAATTATAATACAACAATTATGTATTTCGTATGGAATTGTTTTAAATGTATAAATATTGTATAACATTTACTATTATTGGATTTTAAAGTGCAGTGAGATAACAATTGAGATAACGTGCGCTATTTCATAGACTTTTTGTTAACACTTCATTGGACAGTTATTCTAAAAACTAAAAACTCTTGTAAATATTGGTTATAAGTATTATGACATAATGGACCATATAGTAGTATAATTTTTACCTAATCAACATACATAAATTCAAATATATTTATTAAACATTGTGTGTATAGGATGAGTGTCTGATTTATGATTATTATTTATTTCTTAATTTTTAACTTTCTTAAATTTGTCAGGCATTTATAATATGATCAGTTTTTCTAGTAATATTGATTCAATAATAATTATTTAAATTATTTAAATATAAATCATAATGATAATTATCCACCTTAATTATTATACAATCGCTGACAATTTAATTATAGTGTATAAACAATTCGGGTTACAACCATCGTAATATTTGTTTGAATCTATTAGTCTTGGGTTCGATAAATTAAAACAAAATGTTTAGAAAGTTGACGTGTTAGCATAATATTTAATAATGTGGTAATACACAATCGTATATTATTGTTTTTTTTTTTGTGTAATTAAAATTATGAAGAGATCTAATGAATTTACAGTAAAAGTCGAATCCACGTGCGATGATTTGTATACGACACGGCGCGACCCCATTCGCAATAATTTGACATAACGTATTAGAATGTCCGTGGTTCGTTCAAAAAAAAACATAGTCTTTAAAAAAAACATTTGTATGATAAAATAATAGTGTAATATTAATGACAACTCGAACGGTGTACTCGAATTCGATACGTTTTATTGAAGGGTTCTTTTCTTATTCATATATAAACAAAACAAAAATAATAAAAAAAAATCACTTGGTCTCTGCAGTGCCAGCATTAAAATTATAAATAATAATGTATACATGAGCATAGTAGAACGGACTAGTATTTCGGACGTCATAATGCAACAATCTCAGCTAATCCTTTGCTCACCTGGAGCGCTACAGACGGATGGCTGGGCGGGATAATAAAAACGACGAGCACGCGTGCACGCGGTTCATAATTTATTACTCGTACACGGACGCGCGCGCGTTCGACCGCGGTTAACGACGACGACGATCACGGACGTTATCTCAGAGAAAACACAAAATCTAAAAATCCCTAAATCGTGATAAAATAATAATTATTATTTAAATCACAGGCCTTACGTCCGGCGAATCGTAAACTGCGACGAACACTGTGCAGATAATAATATTATCGTATTGCACCACGCCGACATCGTGTCCAATCATCGTCGTCGATTCAACTCAGCAAATAATACTAATTTGTAAACGATATATTATTATAAATCCGTTTCGGACTTGGACCTTCGTCCATCGAGTGCCGTAAGACCCCCTTTCGATATAATACAGGCGCTGACCGGTCTCGCGAATCAGCCCGCCGCGCCGCGGACGTCGTTTAGCCATCGACCGAGAGACGATACCTATCATAGTCGTCTTCAGTCCGTCGTCTGATCTGTACATCCGATCGATTGTCATCCACGAGCCGGATAGACGACGACATCATGGACGGCTCTTGGTGGAACTCGGTATGTATATATTGTAATATTATATATTCATATATTATGATACATATTTCAATAGACTGCCTATCCGAATAATGTACAGTTAAACCTCTAAATACCGGACATACTTTGTTACTGAAATTTCGTTTGCTATAGAGGGTTCGGTTTGTAGAAAGTCTCTAGTTTTTCCCCAGAAAAAAAATTCACTATTCGGAGTGTACCTTCCCTAGGTTTCGCTGTATACCTACGTATTGTGTTCAACGCCCTAAAAAAACATCCCCGGAAAACTCGTGGAAATGTATTTTGATTCTCGTCGACATCATATTAATCGTAAGGAAGATCTTGAGCCAGCTGGTCTTATTCTAAGGTGCAACAGTAGTTAAATCAAAATGAGACAATGTTTAAATCAACTATCACAAATCGTAATAATATTACGTTTTATCGACTTCTAACAGCACCGAGCCACTCCGCTATAACACGAATTTTAAAAATGAGCTTTATGTTTTTCGTTATTGGGTGAAAGGGGCCGATTTGGCTTTTAAAGCTTTTCAAATCTGACATTATCGTAAACCCATTCTAAATTGTCTCATCAAATACCGATGAATAATAAACTATTATGTCAATCCTAAAAATGCAACAATCGTCCACCGGAGTATAAGGCATTAGACATGTTATACTTTGTCGATATAGAAAATCCCTTGGAATATAAAACTTCGTTGAAAGATTGATCTGGGGATTGTCATAAGTCGTAAGATGAGTTTTAGCTAAAAAAAAAAATAGATCAGTTGCTGACTTTGATACTATTATATTCTTAACTAAACCACTATAATAGGTACAGTGGTACACTATATAATATTAAATAATAAGAAGTTCATTATAACAGTGTTTAAAAAAAATATACATAATATATTGAACGAATATTATTAAATTGTTGACATAATATTATTTGGGAGCGAATTGCGTGTAAATATGCCACGCGTTCTATATATTATATGCATTGTTATCTCAAACATCAAGTATTAACGATCAACTTTATTTATTTTGATCTATATACATGCATAACGATAAAAGTCAAGTACGGATTTTCAATAAGATTACAAGTATCGGCAATGTTAATGCTAGGTAAATAAAAAAATATTTTAAACACTTTAAAACGCTGCTTGCAATATTAATACATTTTTAATACAAATTGGCGTATAATTCAATGATTTGAATATTAATATGTTTATTGAAATATTATATTAAATAATTTTAGTTTTTTTTTTCTATATTACAGTCTTCAATTTTTTATAACGAGTACCAACAATAATAAAAAACGATTTTTTTAAAAATCATGTTTATTTTATACGTTATATTGTAGTCCATAATGAAAATTACAAAGTAAATAACTAATCTAATTATTTTTGTATGTATAAAGTATAAACTATGCCTGTTCTAGAATGTTTACGTTCGTATTCCGTTTGTATCGTAATTGACCAATCATTTTTTTTTTTTTTTTTAATATTTTAAACATTGTTATTATTATATCGTAATTCCGAAAAAATGAAAAATATTAACTTGCAGTATTTTTTAATTAGGATTATCATGATAACATTCAAGCATACTATCAAATACCAATACATTTCTCACAAGCAAAAATAATTTTTAAATTAAACTACTACACGTGCTATGGCGAACTCCTGTAGACGTGTTCCAAAATAATGTAATTTAGAAAAACGAAAAAACTTTTGAGTTCTAATGTATAGAAATAATTTTGTGCTGCTCGTATAATAGGTATTAAACATTTCCGAGACTTGCGTACGACTTTATTTCATAATATTATTATTATTATAATCATCGACTTATGTAAGAAAAAAAAAATTTGCCATATTCGTATTTATCTTTTACGAGTCAAGATGTGGGATTATGAACAGATTAGATATAGATACATTATGCAAACATAAGTCATTTATTATAGTGTACTGTAATTATTGTTGGTGGTCAGAAACGCATACAAAACAAGATAAACAATTAATATTATACACCGTATTATTGTGGTTTAATGAACCATTGATTCTGGCATACATGTGTTGTTCGCATTATATTTTTATCTTCAATAGTTTAGTAAAAATGAACTACTTAGCATTAAAATCATAACATTATGCTGTACGTGTAACGAAATTATTAACAATAATATGTTTTATATTGGCATTGTATAATATTAAGATAATGGTTCGACGTGAAACACTTACCTATATTATTTTTCGATAAGACTGTTTTATAAGCCTCCTTTTTAGTTTTTTACTGTAAATTGTTTAGTGGATCATTTTTTTTGAAAAAGTTGGTGTAGGTACCTAATTAAAAATGTTAGCGATTTGTTTTTCAGTTATTAGGATAATAGTCCTTACAAATGGTCTTGCGAAAATGTATTGAGATTTCATTTTATTATTACTCATTGGGTCTACTATTTAGAATTTAATTTAATTTATTTAACAATTTTTACATAATATTATAAAAATTGATAGATTGAAATTGATATGTAAAATTGTTGTATAATAATATCTTTTATTTTTTAAATCGTGAACCTATAGTTATCCTTGGTAGGTACATACAGTTAAGTAACTCAAAAATACTCGTTTAAAATTTAATTTTAATTCAACATTTTCAGAAAAATTATCGATTGAATAATTTAAGGTGGAAAAATGTTAATTTGAAAAACAGAAGTTTGTATTTTCAAGGTACCTATAACATTCCTCAATAGTACGAAAAATCTCAAGAATTTGAAAATAATATGGTCTTAAAATGTTTTATTTAAAAATTCTAAAACCCGATTTCGAATAACTGTATTAATGAAGAAAAAAATTGGTGCATACCTGGCTTATCGCCCTGTGTACCCTGTATACCAAAGAATAGTATAATAATTATTTAAAACACTTCATATGCCTTATTTATTACTTAATGTGCAAGCACGGCCAAGTTGCACTCTCTCGTAGCGCCGAGTATACTCCGAGTAGTGAAGTTGTCTAAAAGCAATTATTTATTCGTAAACACTACGCACAATATTAAAAATTATTTTTTCACAGTAAAATTCTCTATAATTAATTTGCGTAATGAATATTTGTAGACATATTTTGTTACACAATATTATGTTGCACTTACCGTATCAGATAGAAATAATGTGTTTAATTACGTATAAAGATCTACTGAAATATGTTTTAGGCTTTTTAGCGATACATTCTTCACAGATTAACTGCTTAAAGTATGTCAAGTTTCAGTAAAACATGGTCTTAAAGTATATTTGTTCGAACAAAAATGCGGCTCAAATTTAATGAAAAAATAACATTTATCTGTTCAAAGTAGATTGTAAAAAAAAATTTATCGTGAACTCGTACTTACGCGTGTCACAAATAAACGCACACACAAAATCCAGGTAATATTAAAACGCCATCGAATCGTTGGCGAATGTTAGATTTCGAGTTTCTATAATATATACAAGAGATCAAGCCCATGTTATTTTCAGGTCAAATTTACAGCAGTATATAAAATGAAACTCTTTCACGATTTTTTTTTTAATTTAAATTTTTCTAATTGAATGACGTCTTCTTTCACACATATTATTAAACGCCTAAATTATTCCTGCAATCGTCAGTATTCGCGTCGTCGTCATCAGCTGTGGGGGTTTTATCCAAATCTAAATCATACATTATAATTATTATTTTACGTCCGTGAATATATAAAAAATATCAAAGCTGCGAAATAATTTTTGCACAATAAATCGTGTAGGAGGTATATGACCGGTGGTTACGTCCGAGACACATTATACTCTGAGGCCATATAATAATACGATGACGACTTGTAAACGCTTATAACCTACCCTAACCCACATCCACATGTCAAGTACACGTACACGGTACTAATTTGCGTCTGAAATTATAATCAGTATCTACCTATAGCCTGCAGTAGGTGAGTTGCGTCCGAATTAAACAGATTTAGAATCGTCAAAGTTAATAATTTTTTGTGGCTATTTATATAACAACTTGTCTAACAGAACAATATAATTTGTATTTCCTATTACAATATTTGCACAAAAAGCTAATCAGAATAAGTAGGTAATAACTATGATAAACAATATTGTCATGAGACAACAAGAAACATAATATTATGTCTGGAAAAATGTATACCTCTTATGTCAATTCTTAGTAGATACATACATAATGGTTCTATATAATATTGTACATAATACAATATTTGGGGACTTATTATAACTACACATATTAACATCTATATTGTTTTTCAATTTTTTTTCATTAAGGGGTTTTTCCAAATTTTCCTCAATCCTATAAAACATGAAAGTTATAATATAATTATATATTTTATCTTTTTTTTTGTTCCTGTAGTTATAATACTTTTCCACTTATCTACTTTATGATACCTATTTAGGGAGAGGGGGTTGGCAATTGGCATGGTGTATTATATTAATAAATATGATTTAACAATAGAAAACTCTCAGTGAACCCTCATTGAATAGTCAGATTTTGATAACTATTTTTATTTCTGAAAAGAAAAACCTTTCTACAGTCCCCATTGAACTCCAATTTTTCTATTTTATTGTAAATAATTAATTGTAAAAAAAGTTTAAAATTGTCTTTCTTTAAAGACATAATAAACATTAAGAAGCTGAGTTCAATGCTGGTTACAGAATAGTTCCTTCAATACTAATTAAAAAAAAAATCAAATTAGGTTGAATCTATTGCACACAGCCATTATTTCTATTGGGTGTGTTTTTGAGAACAAAATTACAATAACCAAAACTTAAAAATAGTGACAATTTCAATGAATAATTATCATAATTAAACGGTTATAAAAGTATGTTATACTGCAGGTTGACATTGAAAATTAATAATTATACTTACGTCCGTAATAACTACACATCACGACCGTCGACTTTTCATACACACAAGCGCGATGTCGATAGTATTATAATATTATTGTAGTTATCCGGCCGCAAGTTGAGTGTTGACTAAATAATAGAGTTATTGAATCAA